AAAAATTGAAGACATCATTAGAAATGATCATTTTTTATATAAAATTGATGTGAAACTATAAAAAATCGTTTTTTGAAAGTGGTAGATTAAAAACTAGCCGTGTAATGAGCTAAAGTAACAGTTCAAAATACATACCGTAAATGATAGTACTTAGGCCCGTATCGTCAGTCGTCCCTACAATTGTAGGGCGCGTTTATGGCCTCCTTGATTGTCATAGTCCTTTCTCTCCTTCAAAAATTTCTAGATTACACTTGTCCCGTGTCAGCGTCAGCGCTCTCCTATTGTGAAGATATGTTTTCTTTTTAAATTGTAGGAAATTTCAGGCTGATAAAACATGATATAACTCAAAAGCAAGCACAATTTGATGCAAATAGATGTTTGTGACATAACCTCAAAATAGAGCGCTGACACGGAGAAGTAGAAAACTATGACAATCAAGGAGGCCATAAAGGCGCCCTACAATTGTAGGGACGACTGACGATACGGGCCTTAGTAAACTGTGTAGAGGTGTTGCGTGGTGATTTTTCCATGTCTTGAAATTCCTTAACGATTATTTTCTCGTATCTCCAATGAGATCAAAGTTTTTGCGTTTATAAGAAATATTTGAAAGTAGAAACAATTCTCTTGGCCCTTTTTTAACGTTCATTTTTCCAACCAAACTGATGGACCATGAGTTTTTTATAGCGGCGTAGTGAGAGGCTGGCCAAGAGTGTCCGAGATTGAACGGTCACGCTACAGGATGCGCAATTGGTTCTTACTTTAAAAACGCCCCTCGTAGTTCACTGACATCTTTCTGATAAGATTTGCTGAAAGGTTTCTTTTATGGCACCGCTGCTTTTTGCAATAGGTTTCAGAAGTTAGATTTCCTGATAAGACTGACTTATCGGGTAAGACGTCAGTGAAACATGAAGAATAAGTAAGTTCAAGATTATGTAAAAATACCTGTCAATTATTTCGATTATCAATTTAGTTGATATCCATATAACTTTTTGCCTCGTCGTGTTAGTTTCCCAATTATTTCCTTTAATGCCTTCTGAATTTCAAAAGTGGTATTGACATTTTTAGAAGCTTTTGTTTGGAACCTGACTGTATTTCGTAAAACTTCATCTATATATTGATTGTCGACCATACTACTATTATCCACAGATTTATCTACAAAGAGAGTTCACATAAGTATTCCCATTTAAATAACACCTCTGCTATTTTGAAACATCAAGTAGGTTGGCTCTGTATTTATTTATTTAAGTATAGTTTGAGTGGAATGCTTTAACAGTTCTATCTATTCTTCGGTGGTTCATGAAGTTCAAAACCAACCTTCTTGATGCCATACTCACCGATGCTTACCCTTTGAAAATTTTGATGTTCGTTTGACTGTTGTTTTCATGTATTGCAGCATACTATAAATCGGGTCTTTAAACATTGTTAACATGATCCTATTGTTCCTATTCAACATCCACCCGGCTCGTGTATGCCCAATAAAACATTCATCTAGCTATCCAGGCAGAACAGTTTTTGGAACAGTTCCCTGTACAAATCATTATCATCAGTATTCATTATCTCACGTTTATCACGCTCAGGAGTGTCTACAGCGTATGCAATTCCTAAGTTGGGGGTGTCCCCCTCCAAAGCTTGATGAAAATATTTGAGCTATGATTCTGAAAGAAAGCCTGGAAGTTTTTGAACAGCAGTTTTGTAAAATACGTAAAAATACGGAATGTATGATCACATTTTAGCTAAAAATAGACATGTTAGTAAAATATGTACCTAATAGAAATAGTAAATACTAAATGTAAGCTAAAATTAAAATTATAATATATCATTATCATCATTATTTATCATTGTTCATCACCATTCCTGAAATACGAAACGTTCTTATTATCACCTAAAAGCTGAAACAAACTAAGAAAAACACTTGCGCTACGATTTTAAAAGTTAAATGATCATAGACAACAGACCTTTGAAATACGTAAAAATAAGAATTATGGTAACCCATTTTGCTTGTAAATATATTTTCTCAATAAAGGTGTTTTATCCAGATGTCGATAGTAAAATAAAAATAGTGAATACCAAATTTAACTAAAAAAAACGTATAATAATAAATATAGGTTTGGAGACCATTGTGGGGCCACAGCCTGCCTCATACCTGTAATGATCTACTACTAGCCTCTCTATCACTAAGTATTACCAGAAATACTACTATTACTACTACTACTACTACTACTACTACTACTACTACTACTACTACTACTACTACTACTACTACTACTACTACCACTACTACTACTACCTTCTTACCTGGTTACTTAGCATCTACGGACACACTTATGAAACCTGAACTTTTCACATATCTCATCTCTGAAAAACACTGGACGATTTTACGTCAGCCACGTGTTTTGCAAGTCATCTCTTCGGAAATGATTAACCACACGAAAATGCCTCTTTATTATTTCGATTATCGTTTCAATTGATGTTCATTCTGCATGTACCAGCCTGTGATCATATTCAAGAGGGTGAGGAAGTATAATTTTTGGAATGTTAGCTTCCCAAATATGTCCCTGAATGAAAATCGTGAACATTTTTAGAAGCTTTTGCTTGTAACCTGGCTGTAAATATTTCGCAAAGCTTCATAAATATATGGATATTAGACCATACTACTATTATCCACAGGTTTATCTACAAAGAAAGTTCATATAAGTACTCCCATTTAAATAATACCCCTGCTTATTTTGAAACATCAAGTAGGTTGATTCTTTATTTCATGGATAGTAGCATAAATACGAGTATAGTTTGAGTGGAAATCTTTTAATCTTCTTAAGGTAAGTTTTGAAGATATATCTCGTGGGAACGATTCCAAGATCTTCAACCTGTCTAGTGGTTCGTCAAGTTTAAAACCAACCTCCTTGATCCCATACTCTCTAATGCTTACCCTGTAAAAATGCTAGATATTCGTTGATTGCTGTTTTCATATATTGTAGCATACTACAAATCGGGACTTTAAACGATTTTCTATAGTTCCTATTCAATCTCTATCTTTATCCACCAACATTCATCCAGCTATCAAGGCAGAACATTATTTGCAACAGCTTTTTTATAACGCTCGGGAGTGTCTATAACCTGTGCCATTTCTGAAATGGGGAGTGTCCTCCCTCCAAAGCTTGATGAATATATTTGGGCTACGATTCTGGAAGGAAGCCTGAACGTTTTCGGACAACAATTCTGTAAAATATGTATAAATATGTCCAATCACTTCTTAGCTAAAAGTAGATATTCGTAAAATTTGTACCTAATAGAAATGGTAAATACCAAATGTAATTTAAAATTATAATATATCGTTATCATTAATATTTAGCATAGTTCATCAACATTCCTGAAATACGGAATGTCCTCACTCTCACCTAAAAGTTCAAAAAACTAAGAAAAACCCTTGCGCTACGATTTCAAAGCATAAATAATCATAGACAACAGACCTATGAAATACACTATATTGATACTTAGCAGTATCCTTTTAAATTCTGGATCCCTGGCCATGGACCCAGGGGAATTCCTTCCTTAACTTTCCCGCCTCTGCAACGGCATGATGGGGGGCGGGGCAGCATGAAGAGTCGCCCGACGCATTCGTCAACCATGCTCGCTATTCGCATTAGGCCAAATTAGTCAGTAGCGACAAGCGAGATAGATCGATGAAGTCGATCGATCTTACAAGTCAAGATCCGGCTCCCCAAAGTCTTCTTCCAACCCCGAAAAAGACAATGGTTCCACAGACCAAAAAAGCCCTCCGCCCTTTCATCGCTTGTTGTGTCCAGCTATCCTAAGGTAGTGTAGAAACCGAAGGAACATTGAAGATGCCCCTTCCAATTCTATCCTGTCGATCATGGACCTACATTTTTTCGAAGCTATGTGCAATGCCCCGATAAATTCAAGACATAATCGACAGCCTACCGAGGATAAAGGGGCTAGTCAACCTCTTTCGCCAAATGTCTCAATTCACACTAACAAACTGGTTGTATAAGGGAGTTGAACCTTATACAGCCAGTAGGTTTATCAATCCCTCATCTCTCGCTCTGTTCGGCTGAAAACCCTACATCAATAAGAAAACCCTAAATGCACTTACATTTCAGCAAACTCCTGTTGTCCCTGTGCTCCTGCATGCTCTGCGCAAGAGCATACTATAGTATGTGTCTGAATCTCTGGATGTGCCCCTGCTTTTTCGCAGCAAGGCAAGGTGAAGAGTTGTCTCTTTCTCTTGACGTGCCCCCACATCTCAGAGTGCCCAAAAAAATTCCCTAACATTTCCCTAGCTACTCGCTACTCCCGACCACTTGATTGGAGTTCTATGATGCAAACCTTTTTGTTGAAGCTTATGTCGTACATGACAATTCCGATTCTCTCTACTTTTAAAATTTGCAACCGTTATATTTTTCCTAACTTCTCAACTGAACTGACGCTTTTTCCTAGTAATCCCTAACTATCTAAGTGGGGCACCCTGTCTGAGGAGGGCAGTATGAGGAGTCGTCCGCCACATTTGTCAACCATGCTCGCTCTTCGCATTGGGCAAAATTAGTCAGTAGCGACAAGCGAGATAGATCGATGAAGTCGATCGATCTTACAAGTCAAGATCCGGCTCCCCAAAGTCTTCTTCCAACCCCGAAAAAGACAATGGTTCCACAGACCAAAAAAGCCCTCCGCCCTTTCATCGCTTGTTGTGTCCAGCTATCCTAAGGTAGTGTAGAAACCGAAGGAACATTGAAGACGCCCCTTCCAATTCTATCCTGTCGCTCATGGACCCAAATTTTCTCGGAGCTATGTGCAATGAACCGATAAATTCCAGACATAATCGACAGCCTACCGAGGATAAAGGGGCTAGTCAACCTCTTTCGCCAAATGTCTCAATTCACACTAACAAACTGGTTGTATAAGGGAGTTGAACCTTATACAGCCAGTAGGTTTATTAATCTCTCATCTCTCGCTTTGTTCGGCTGAAAACCCTACACCAATAAGAAAACCCTAAATACACTTACATTTCAGCAAACTGCCCTAGTCCCTGGAACAAGTAGAAACAGCATGACTATACATTACCTTAATAAAGGTCTCACTCTCACACTTGAGCAGGAAAGTCGGATGGAACAATTCTAGCGAACGTTTCGGCATATGAATAGCTATAAAAGCTGTTTTATGTAAAATAATTTACACTCGTACTATTTTCGTAGTTTGTTTTCATTGTATGGTACCTCTTATGTTCTCTAATATTTGGTTACATAAACGAATATGAATAAGATAGTTCGCCATAACATATTGACACCTTTTATGAAAGCTGGTTCGCACGAACATGGAGAATACCCCTTGCTCGACTAGGCAGTCCGTGGAGGTACCAACGAAGAGCCACTGCCAATAACTGATCAAAATAAGGTGAAAAATTGCCGTTAGACAATAAATAATCACCCTATTTTACCATATTTGTATCCTTGCCCTTACGGAGCATTTTTGCAAATGAAAAATTTCCAAACATTTCAGAAACCACTATCTTGCGGCAACCTTATAGTAAGCTATATTTTTATTGTTTTACAGTGTAAATTATAAATACAGGTGGTTCCGTAAGGAAAAAAATCCTTTTGGGTTTTTTAAAGCTTAGTTTTTACTATGTACTCTTTTTTTACTACCCTATTCGCGTGACAAAAACACAAATATAATAACATTGAAGTGTTGCGATACGTTACGTTTTCAAAATTTTTATTTGCCATGTACCTTCGAAACGAAGGCGTTTTTCGAAAACGATTTAAGGACAAAGCAACCTTTGAATAGACTGAAGAATTAGTCCTTGATTTTTTAGTGAACATATTGCCAGAGAAAGAAAATATTTCCTTTCAGTGAATTTAAGAGTGATGGGTAATATTGTCAGAATTTTTGAAAATAAAGATCTGGAATTTTGGGCTTGCTGCCAACAATGGACAACGGCACAACTATTATACAAAAAACAAAAAAAAAACGTCAAAAAACCCGACGAAATGTCATATTGGAGACTAGGTAGTTTTTAGTGTGTAAATAGTTGATTCCACGTTTGTTTGCTATTCGTCTAATCATATCAGACGAAAATTCCCATGGTTTGCGAAATAATTGTAAAGTCTGGTTTTATTGATGCAAGTTATTGAAAGGGATATTTAAAACATAGACGCATAAAATGGAAACACCAAGTTTTGTGGGGAAACTTTTTATTCGATAACAAAGAATGAGGAAACGGGTTTTTTGGGAATCAATCGAAAGTGTTGGCAGGAACGAAAAAACTCTTTTGATAAGATTTCACACACCCACTTGAAATTCTTAAAATCCATAGGCTTTATATATAAGTCTAAATAACCACAACAAAATTGCGTGTACTAAATTTCTGCATTCTTGATGACTTTGCCAAATAAATAGGTCACGTAATCCAGTTTCTTTACTTTTTCTAAAAAGTATTAGTACATCAGTTTTCGAAATCTCGTACGATTAAAACGGCTGCGAGCTCAATATGTTGGAAACTGAGCTCGAAAAAAACGAAAAAATAGTAGATAAATATCAACCAATTGTAGCGAACTGACCGTCTGAAAAGTTAAGCAAAATGCTCCGTATTAGTCCCTAACACATTAAGTTTCAGTATTGTATCTTCTATAATTTTCAAGAGTATTCTAATTGTTTATAACAGATTTGATATGCCTGCAACATTCGCTTGACATTTGTCAGCTTCCAGTGTAGGGGTATAAAGATCCAGTAAACCAAGATACGATTGTATAACCGCAGATACGAATCCACAAAGCTCCTTTTTTCTTTTATTTTTTTAAATTTGGAGAAATAAATGCTTTTTCACATTATTTGTTCTTTTATTGCATGATTGTTTATATATATATATATATATATATATATATATATTATATTACTTTGTTAAAATTCCAGAAGCACTATGACGGATCATAGCAGATCATTTATGAAAACCTAGATCTTAGATGTTAAAATTATTGACAAACAATAATGAAAGACATTAGAAATTTTGTTTGTCATAATACGCTGTAGTTTTCGATACGGTCAAATTAGGTATCTCTAGGAGCCGCATAGGATGCTTATAAAATTAAGTGAGCTAACCCACAGCTTTTGTATTTATCAAGTTACTGTTGAACGTAGATGCTCATTTCATCAACAACAATATAAACCTTCGTTATTCGCATAAAAATAACAATTATCTTTCGGAATGATTTGTGATTCATGTCGGCGGTAAAGTGATGGCCGAAAGACAGGTGTTTTGGGATAAACAATTATAAATTCTTAAAAACTACTTGACCAATCGACTCCAATTTTGTTGTGGTCATTCAGAAGTATGAAGCCTACGGATTTGAAGAATTTCAAGTAGCTGCTGGTCTCATAAATACCTATAAACTTATTTGATGAGTTTTTTGGTTCCTGACAACACTTTCGATTGAATCCCAAAGAACACGTTTTCTCATTCTTGGTTGTCGAATCAAGTTTTCCCACAAAAATTGGTGTACCTATTCTATGCGTCCATGTTTTAAGTACCCCCTTGAACAATTGTCATCAATAAAACCAGACTTATTTCGCAAAGCAGGGGTATTTTCGCCTAATATCATTAGACTATAGTTTAAATGTGCGATTCCATTAAATTTGATATTCCACACCAGCTTGAAGTTAATAACGTGCAAAAACGTAGTATTCAGGTCCAGACTTGATATTTAATTGTGTGATGTACCATTATGTTACTAAATCTAACGAAAGGTTATGTGTATTTTGAAACTGCTGTGGGTTCGGACCTGTATAATAGGTTTTTCTACAGTATCATCATAATCTTGAATTTGTGAGAGGATTCAAATTCAGGGCATTTGCATACTAAATGTCGTTTCACTAAATCAGAACTCATGTTGTTTGTATAACACAGTTAAATCACTGAAAAACCTAAATAAGGGGCATAACCTTACTTGTAAGATGTGTTTTTCGGCGAAATATAATTACTAATAATAATAATAATAATAATTGTTTTTATTGGTTTAACCAAAAGGCGCAGTTCATACTGCGTGCTCTTCCACTCAACCTTACAAAGAAACAAAAAAAAATTACAATTGAAATAATGAACGAGTTGAATGGTCCAATCAATTAAATAAAAAAATTGACATTTCATTCTTGCTGTTTTTTTAAAATAAAATATTCAATTGTCTTCTTAAATGGGAGTTCCGTCAGCCCCAGAAACTTCTAAGGGATGTCCTTAGCAATTTGGTAGCTGAAACTCCTTCCATAAATGGTGGTTTTATGGATAGGAGGAGTGATGAGGAGTTTGGATCTAATATTAATAACTTCTGTTCGAAATTTATTTTTGTTTATAAAGGTAGGTAGGTCTCTTTTGTGTAACAATTTTATTAAATAAGGTGATCGCAGAAAAATTGAATGTTTCTTATGTTGTTCCATTTAGTAACTAATTTTTTTTCCGAAATGTGTTCATATTTTCTTATGCCATGAATAAACCTAACACAAGAACTTTGAACAATCGGAATTAGAGTACAAATTACAGGGCATTGCACTTAAAATACAAGGAAATAAAGCTGAATCCGATCTTGAAAGTGAAATCCCAAAACATCTTTTTTTTAAATTTAACCATTATTTTGTAAAATATTGATGAAACCAACATTGTAACCCTTACAATTTTGAATTTTGTGTCACAAAATCGGTTAAAAATAAGATATAAAATATACCCTGAAATAAAATCTTTGACTTTTAATAAAAAAATTCATATTTCACAATAGTTATTCAGAATATCCAAGAACTGGCCCTCCGTACTAACCTCTCCACTACCGTATTTCCAATTGTTTTTATTCATATCTCAACAATCATCTTAGCACTGCAATATTTTTAACATGTTTTTTACGGAAAAAATTGAAAAACTCAAGCGTTTTGTCTCCAGCAACCCTTTTTCTTTCATGTCTAAATTTCTTTATACCTCAAAAAATTATTTATCATTATTATTGGTTTAGTTTCATTTGAAACATAAGATTTACAAATAAAAGCGCTTACCTAGTTTGCCTTTCTGTTGGGCCTTCAACTATAACTGGACCTGAAACAAATACAAAAATATTTTGAAATTGCCTCTCAAAGTAAAGCTATCAAAATGAACGAAACATTTTTTGGAGTTTGAAACATGTGAAATATATCACTCCGATTCTTTGAAGCACCATGCATTTCTTGCTGATTGTTATTTTTACAGTTTGCTCTAGAAAAGTTTAGTCTATACAACTGGAAACAAAACCCACCTAGTTCTGCTAATTTTTCCATCTCAACTGGACCCTGTACCTGAAACAAATAGAAACATATTTTTGAATCCGACATTTTTTTCGAAATGTAGGACTTGAATCAAAATGTTTGAAAAATATAGGAAAAAATCAAGTTTTTTCTTGTACCGGTTTTTAAATTGTACCATGTCAATATTTACCGACTTTTAGATTTCTAACGACAGCTGGTTAGCCTGTTTTTTGCCTTGTGGCATCAAAACAAATCTCTTCCTTTGTCGGAATGTAAAAATCAGCAAATGACAAAAACTAGATATTCAATGCTCTTTCAAAAATAGAGCATTTGTAGGTTCCTTTTACTAAAAACTGAATAATTCCAAGTTTTGTCATTGAAGTAATGCGAAATACTACAAATAAAAAATAATATTTTTTAAAGAACATTAAATAGGATAATTTTTAAGATTATTTGCCGATTCAATCTGGTAGATTTCTTTTCACAGTAATTAGTCAAACTTTAGTAACGGTTTTCACATTGAAACAAAATGTTAGACTTTTTCTTAGCATGATAGCTTTCAATGAACTCAACCAACTATTAATGGTAGCCCAGGAGAAAAAAATCATAAGTTAGAAAATCTATATACCCATAATAAGTAAAAAAGGAGCAAAAAGAGAGAGTTTTTAAAAGTGGCAATATCTCGAATACTTTTACTAAGGTCATGTTGATTTTATCTGATTAATCTGAAGCCAATCTACCTCCCGTGTCACTGTGGCGTGTTATTTCTGGGACATCCTATATTACACAAGTACTACAAACTCCCTAAGCAAGTAAAAACCCACTTAACCACCACACGTTGCCTTATGATATAAAGAAACTTCACGAACGCACAAAAGACGCGTAGCGTAACTTCAGAAAATCAATGTTAACAGCTACTACATCGTTGAATTCGTAGAAAAAGGTTCTATCAGATGGGTGTTTTTTTTTTCGGACCATATAAAAAAATAAAGTTGATGATGGTTTCCAAAAGCGAAATGCCGGGCACAAAATTTAAAAACAGCATCATTTAGTGCCTAAAAAGTTCTATTTGTTTTTTGATATTTCTTGAAATAAAAGAAAAGGATAAAAACGATATGGCCAAAGCTTAGTTTTTCCCAAATACCCCAATAAGCCATGAAATTTTTACAAGTTTCTCAACAGCACAACATGAACTACAACTATACAATTTTTCATTAAAATTAACCGGGTTGTCTATATGCGTTGTGCCTGATACTTTGGTTTAGGAATGCGCCTACATCTGAGCTGAGTGGATTTGATTGGCGTGGTATTGTGGCGCCATCGTCCATGTTCTTTCTCTATTTAATTAATAAAAATGAGTGAATCTGACCTGCATTTATTTATTTTTCATTGTAGCCTATTCATTTTTTTTTGTAAAAATTCGGCACTTAAAAAATGATTGACGCTTGTCCCCCACGCGTCCAACAACGTCACACGTATCCACGCGCCTAACGCAGGGTTAACTTGCACACTGTTGATTCAAAAAATAATATATACACACAAGTTATACAAACTCCCTAAGCAAGTAAAAACGTAGTTACCATCACACTTTGCCTCTTGATATAAACTTCACAAGCGGCACAAAAGACGCGTGGCGTGGCGCGATTTGGTAGCACTGACCTACCGCCGACGCGCTACCCCGAGAACTGAAGTCGTACTGTTTACGTTGTTTTTTATACATGAACGTAGATTTTTATTGCACAACCGAATCCGTATTTCTGAATATCATATACAGGGCGTTCGGAGCATTCTAATAATGAAATAATAAAAATTACTAAAATATGTATGTTTATTTGGACATAGGATGGGCATACATTCTAGGACTAATAGTAGTGGAAAGATAGGAATCTGTCATTGCAAAGACTTTGCGAGTCCCACATTTTGAATTTTTCGTTATACAATACAAATTGTATCACCGATAAAAAACCAGTTTTAATGTACTTTATGGGCTCAATATAGTATTCAAGATCTGAAAGATTGAAATTTCGAATATCCATTACAGTTTATTAATAATAATGGAAAACGATCGAAAAACTGTTATAGACTTACGTTGTTTTGTCAGGAAATAGGGTTAGTGGCATATAACTTAGGCGAAGAAAACATCATATTTTTCATTGGTTATCATTGAGAATTACACTTGAATAGTGACTTATTAAAATGCCAAATATTTTAATTGTTGCATGTTTGAATATTTTTAAGATACATAGGAGAAGTCCGGAAAACTTAGGAAAATCGAATTTCCCGTTTTACTAAAAACTGACTATAGTTTTGAAACTAAGCAGCAGTTGCGAGAATGTGTAATGGAAGCATTTAGTATGATTACAGAAATGTTACGTGATGTTTTGAATCCTAAAAATCATATATATTGATGTGTAGAAAATATGGCAACCTATTTATAATAATAGTAATAATAACGTCTTTATTAATTAACCAAGAGAGACATAAACAGCGAAGTTTAGCCAAGGCTACTCTTAACTGTTTGTGTTGGTTACATCAGATGTTCAGAACAATAAAGAAAGTAATAACAAACACATATACCTAACTAAGAAAAAAAAACACATTTTGCATCTGTAGTAGTTCGGTAAAATTTTTGAAAACCACTGTTCAAACGATTCGCCATTCATTTCCTCGCGGTAATCTCCAGTTTTCTTAGACTCAAAGCACCACAGACCGTCAACAACAAATCCATCCTCACTGCCAATATGGCAGATAATGAGCCTTTTCCCTTTACCTGGAAATCGAAGTACTAACTGGTGTAGATTTATTTCAATAAGCGAACCTTTTTCAAATGTTTTCATCACATTGAGCGAAAAAACATTGAGACATGAGTATCAGATTGCTATAATTGGGATTATTTAGTCATATTGAAAGAAAGAATATTGAACGTCGTATGATTACTCAGCGCTTCACAATTTAATTTAAAGTTATAAACCTTTAAAAAATGAATGATCAGGAACCTGAAATACGCGCAAATATTAATATTAACAAATTATAACTTTATAAAGCTTAAAGTATGAATTAAAATGATTAGAAATATTAGGAACGGTACACAATATAAAACTTAGTAACTTTTTTTAAGTTTATAATATTCGACATATTTTAAGATTATATTAAAAAATTATTGAAATATCGAAAACACATAAAAACATGGCTTAAAAAAGTTCTAACAAATGAAAATGACAATAAAACATCCACGCATTTTATCGAAAGTTATAAAAGTTTTGTTACTTGTAATATGTTTTATCTGCCCCCTGGAATTAATGTTTAGAACCTTGTTCCCAAGGTTTGAAAAACATCCGATTGTTGTCTATTACTCGTATTTACCTGCTGGATTTTTTAATCCGGTGGACAGTCCATCTAGAAAGGCCCTCCTGGATGAAGTTACAGAATCATCAACCCATACTTTACTTGTAGTGTGTCCTGCGTTTACCCACGTTTCATCAAGGTAATAAATCTTCCTGTTTTGATTCCTCCTCCATAGCACAATTTCTTCTCTATCCAGTAGTAAACTATTACGACCCCGTTTTTTCCATTTGAAATTTAAATGCTTCAGTAACGCACGGAAAGTTGATCGTTTGAAATTTGGCAACGTTGTATCTCCATTTACCTCCTGCAGTACTTTATCTATAGTAGGTATTTCATTCCTAAAGAAGAATTCATACACTTTCCTCCTAATCGCATGCTTATCAGCTTCATCCAATGATTTAACAATACTTTTGCGATGTTTACTGGTCATTGGCTTAGAAAAGGTATGATTTTTTTTGTATTGTCTTAACACATTAAACACTGATGCGCGACACACCCCAACTTTGTGAGAAACCTTCACAACAATTTCTTTGATGGTTGATGCCTCGTTCTCCTCGCGCTCGATCTTATATATATTCAAAATGACCTCTTTCATTTCTGCACTCAGGTGTCTTTTTTTAGAGCGTTTCCTAGGTGGACTACAGGAGTTTACAACTTCATCGGCAGTATCTGTACTACTGGGCATTTTGCGCAAGCAGTTGATAACAATAACAATCAATAACAAGGTATAACAATAACAACGACAAACTCAACAACTTAATAAGATAACAAACGAAAACGTCCAAAGAAATATCAAATTGCAATGATGCACACGACATACGTAACACGTCTGAACCTGAATGTGACTCTGCCTTGATACGACTGCTCTGCCGCTCGGCATAGGCATTTAATTGCGAATTGTCCAATGAGGGCTCCTGTTTTACGTCGAGACGGCGGCGTTAGCGTGAAAATCACCCGAACCTTTTGTTTACATCCGGTCTATCTCTTATCTGAATATACTGTAGCATTTACAAAACATAATCTCTGTAATGCTGGTTGCCTTATGTGATGTTGGTTGCACTCTGTAATGTTGGTTGCGATCCGCCACTGTGACTAAACTCTGGGCGCTGAAGAAAGACATTAAACGTAAACAGTGATAAGCACGTGAACAGGTGCCTCGAAAGCATCCACGGATATACTCCAGTCACTTTAGGTCTAAACATCCTCAGCAGTGTATTTCTAGCGAATCCACAGACCCTTTTTCGTGTCATCTTGAGACTAGAAAAAGGATGACTGTTAAAATAAGTTACCTTGATCTTTCATGAGCTCCCAGTACAAAACATCATCGATATATTTTTGATGTAGGAACAACAAATTGGTTTAGAAAACATCCACTTTGAACCTAAATTGACTGGAGTAACATCGATCTACAGACAAATTCAAGGTCACTAGCAGTCGTCGGCGCTCTACGAATCTGCACAGGTTTGGACTTGTAAACGTGATTGTAGATGACACGACAGGCATCTAACAGTTAATTCACGCACAGGATTGCATTGCATACGCATTACGCATTCAGTAGCGTATACTCGTTTTTCACGAGTGGAACGTTTTGTTTATATATTGCCTAAGATACGATGTCTGACACAGATACAGCCGACGAAGTGGTTGACATCAGCGCAACCCCACCCAAAAAAAGGGCTAAGAAGCTACATTTAAGTGCAAATGAAAAACAAATAATATTAAATATATACAAAAACCAAATTCAAGAAAAACCCGATTTGGTCGTGGACGAAGTTATATGTAAGGTAGCACATATTTCTGGAGTATGTCGGTCCAGTGTTTATAGGATCATTAAGGAATATAGGAGCACTCACTCACTTTCTGAGCCAAAACCGTATCCTGCAAGAAAAAGGATAACGGACGGAGTAGATGACTTTGACAGAACTGCCATCAGGAGGAAAGTGCATAATTTTTTCTTCCGAAATGAGATACCTACAGTAGATAAGATATTAAGATTAGTTAATGCTGATGAGGATCTTCCATCATTTAAAAGAACCACATTCCGAAAACTTTTGAAGGAACTTAATTTTCGATTCTTGAAACGGGGAAGAAACAGTATGTTAATAGAGAAAGAAGAAATTGTTGTGTGGAGAAGGGAATACCTTAGGAAGATTCGGAAGTTTCGCGATGAAAAAAGAAAAATTTACTATTTGGACGAAACGTGGGTGAATGCTGGACATACTCAAGCGAAAGTTTGGGTCGACAAATCAGTAACATCATCAAGGCAGGCTTTTCTAGACGGTCTTTCGGCTGGATTGAAAAATCCTGCAGGTAAGCTCCTTCATCTATCCGGCAATTTAATTTTGATAAATTCGGGCAAATAATATGCTGTGATAGCAGATAATGTGTGATATTCTCCAAAAATGGTGCATTCGCAGTGTAGTCATTAGGAAAAAAACTTCGACCCTCTTTTAAGCGTTATTTTGAAATTTATTATCATTTTTGGGTGCAGTCAATTTGCTTTGAATGGGTTTTGAGAAGTTGCAAACTTCAATTTTCTACGTTTTTCAGTTTTTGATCAGCATTCCGTGACTCTTAAATTCAGCTAAATGAACTCAATTGCCTCATTCCTTCAAATTTAATCAATCCATAGTGTAAGGAATAATTTATTTCCAGGAAAAGGCAAACGGCTGATCATTTGTCACGTAGGTAGTGAAGACGGCTTTGTTCCCGAAGCACTGTGGGCCTTTGAATAAAAAAAGACAGGGGACTATCATGAGGAGATGGACGGCAATTCCTTTGAAAATTGGTTCTCCAAAATGTTACTAAAGCTGGAGAATAACGCTGTTATTGTACTGGATAATGCCCCGTACCATTCTAGAAAAATAGAAAAAATTCCCACAATGGCAACTAAAAAAGCAAACATACAACAATGGCTGGCCTCAAAACAGATCGATTTTGATGAAACAATTGTCAAGGGTGAATTGATAAGTATAGTCAATAGACATAAATACAAATACGATTTTAAAATGATCGACGAAATGGCCAAAAAATAAAATAAAACTGTCTTGAGACTGCCACCCTACCATTGTGAGCTGAACCCTATTGAGCTGATTTGGGCCAACATAAAGCAATACGTGGCGTCGAATAATAATACTTATAAATTTTCTGATGTTAAAAATCTCTTTCACATCGCAGTCAATAGAGTTACGGCAGAGGAATGGAAAAACTGTATCCGCCACGTTCGGGAGAAGGTTGAGGTCAAAATGTGGGATTTGGACAATGTCATCGATACCCAAATTGAACCTCTAATAATTCATTTAAACGATTCAGAAGATTCAAGTTCCTCTTCTGAATGAGTGCGCGCAGCTTACTTACTAATAA